TATACTAAGGCTTTTAAGGCAGAAGTATTTCTTGCATTTTATATTTCTGTTTCACAATCTTTAGGCCATCAGCCCACTGATTTCTTTCTAGTGTTGTGAAAAGATAAAAAATTTGAAAAGCTGCATTTTATTGCATTGATTTCCTACCCATATGGGAAGACACATATTTATTTTGTTAACATTTCATATAAGGCAATAAATATGTAATATTCAAAGAAAAATATTTACTATAATATCATGTTTTTGGCATTGCATGTCCATAAATACCATTGTGTTAATGTTCCTTTTTCTGCTATTTACTATTACATAAATACTTGACAAACCTCAACACCATAGGTATTTTGTTTGCAAGTACTCTTAATTCCTATAAGAAATGGTAGTGGGTTTAAATTTCCAGTAGTATGCAAATTAATAATAGTTTATTACTGTAATAGTTATGGAGGAAACATTATATATGGAGGAAACATTAATACTTCCATTACATTTTCCCCTATGACTGAAGACCAGAAAAACTTCCTTTTCCATTATTGCAAAGTTACACTCTTGATTTTTGTTGGTAGACCATATGATGTAAAATGCATCCCTGTTTCTTTCAGATGCATTGTTAGGGTGATGTGTGCCTCACTGCTATGAATCTCAAACAACATAGCAGTTTTATTGTCTCCTGTTTGATTTATGGCTAACTAAAATGTCTTTCTGTCTACTCATACCTTGAGAGTTTTGTTCCATTTAGACTTGCATATGGAGGTACTTTTACTAATTCATTGAAAGATGAATCTTCCAAGTGTTCATATTAGGACAATACAAGATTGGAAGTTACAAACCACTAGCTCAAAAACACAGTAAATGTCTCATCTAAACTGGGAGCACTCCTCCAATAGACACGTGGACAACCAAGTGCAAATATTAACTCCATTCTCATGACCTGTTGCAAACTTCTAGATCATGAGATATAAAATATTGTCTGCATGTTGTCTTGTTTTTGACGTGCTTATACATGCTTGTTACAGGCTCAGATGTATGTCCAATGAGCATATGCATGCAAGAGATAAGTCCCTGAAGATGTTGAAGGATTATTATAAAAGTAGTCTATCTTGTGTTCCAGAAAAGATAACTTAATATACAAAGCAAGTATTTGGAAGAATTTTCAAGTGTATAGTAATTAACAATAGACTGAAATAAAGACTAAGCTTCAGTGGAATTATATGAAATCAAATCCAAAGTCAGTCTTTCTTCAATATTGCTGTAAAGGTCTTTTTTTTATGTTTTCCTAAGTAATTTCAGCTATCCTTATGTAAGATCTTACTTTTAAATCATCAACTGTGGTTACTGTTTACTTGAATGACTAAACTTGGATAACATGGCAAAACCCCTTTTCATTTATAAAAGTGTATTTCCCTCTACAAATACATTGTATGATATTTTCTGGTAGCTAGGGAATTGAAACTCCTCTTAGGCAGGCACCCCTTTTGATATAGGCTTTTTAGATGAAATAAGGCACTGTTCAAAAGCAGTTTGAATATATAAAGATAAAAGGAAAAATAAATTACTAGTAAGCTTCTTGATTTTTTCTTAGTTTAATAGTCTGCTGACTGTTATATGAAGTCAATTTGTGCAGTCACTTCATCTGTAAACTTTCCAGCTGTTGTGCTGTGTATCTAAACAATTGAGGAAGGGAAAAATCTTTACTTTTTGATGTTCTCTCAAAGTGATGTGGCAATTGCCACAAAAAACTTCCAATAAGTGATGAGAAGTTTTCAACAGAGTGTAACAGAAATATAGGTCTTTATAATACACCTCTCCTGAGCTTGCTAAAAAGGGAATGGAGGCTCTAAAGGCTTCAGTAGGTGCAACTGCCTTAGTTTTGTTAGAGACAGAGCTATTTCAAATGCAGAAATCATTACACTCAGTTCAGGCTTCCGTTAAGTCCAAAAGGGAAAACATTTACTGAAATCTCATCATGTGTTAAGACAGTAAGAGCACTGTCTATCTTTACATTGTGGTTTTGATTATGGGTAGGATTTTCATAGAACCAGAATGACATGAAAAGATAAATACTATTGAAAGCCACATGTGTTACAAAGACGTTGGTAGTTCAGGAACTCTGGAAGTTAGGGGTTTCTGCAGGAGCAGAAAGACTGTTGTTACACTTTTACTTTTTAGGAGGGAACTGATAAAATAGTATCTTTGTCAGAGAAGTATTTTAGGCAAGTGTCTTGTGAGAGCGAAAGTTTTGTTGTCATGCTTTATCTTTCTATCTGCTCTTTTTCTTTTTAATCCTAACTTAGTGCAAGTTCTGAATGTTGGATAAATTTTGGCCAAATTTGACCAAAAGAAATAGGTCTTGTTAAGGTTACTCAGAAGTCCTCAAAATGGATAGACTGTGTACTGAAGTCAATATTCAGGCCTGCAAGCGAGAAGCAGTGACAGATCACAGATGTCACTTTTCAAAAGGCAAACAGTACAGAGAGTGGTAAGAGACATAAGAGTGAGTATAATTGCAAGAGTTGTGCAAGAGAGAAGAGGAAAGGATTCAGGAAAAAAGCCTTGGGAGTGCTGGATTGAAAAAAGTAATGAAAGGCATGTTGGCATCTTAGAAAACGTTTTTGTGTATTCATTCCTGAACCTCTTGGGATGATAAATGGAACAACACTCTTCATATGGCATATGAAACCTAGGGAAAAAAGGACTGTATTTTCAGTTTCTTTAAATTAGAATTGCCCCAAATTTATTCAACACCTGCCTACCTTAAAAGGTTTGGTTACGTAAAGGATGATTAAAAAATTAGTAAGTGGAACACTAGTGAGAAAGTAATCAGAAACTAAGCTCAAAAATTTTGTATTAAAAATTGTACAAAGCAAAACCCTAGAGAAAAAACATTTAGATATATGAGTGATATTTTACACTGAGTACTTTAGAAGAAAAATAGGATTTTTATCTCATGTCAATTCCATTTTATAATTCAACTATAGCGTAAAGTTCTTGTGAGGTAACTTTATTAAGGTTTGGAAATCCCCAAAAGATAGTTGTAGTAGATGTAGTCTGCATCACAGAACAGATAAAAGCCTACTTTTTCTTTCTTCTGAACTAGTTGACAATTCATAAGTAGGATAACACACCATAACTTTGTATAGTTTTCATTTTTTACCTTATCTGATTTGTGAAGAAAAGCATTAAAATATCATTGATGAATCCTGAACCTGCTGTCTTTGCATTAAGTAACAGTAGCCAGCAAGACAACAAGGAGCCTTGTGAGAATTCAGTATAGTCTGAATGCTAATCAAACAGCATTCTTAGCACTCTGACATATCTCATGTGGTTGAATTAGGAATTGTTCATTTGGGTAAGGTTTCAAATTGGCAGTCTGTCTTTCAAGTTGTAGAGCTTGGTTAAGTAGATCTGTGATTAGTCTATGCAAGTTTATATCAGTTTAAATAAGTATATTATAGAAACAGAAAAGCAGTGAAGCAATTCCATTTGTACATGAGTTTATTCAGTTGTGTTTCTAGCAACAGAAACAGAAATTAAATTGCAGTTCTCATTTACAAGACAGGAATGTCCTTAGCATGGTATTCCTTGGCATACTTTTAAGGACAACTTCTTAAAAAAAAATACTTCAAAATCAGCTGGTGAATTTTTAAATAATAGGAGAATAAATGATCAAACAGGTTTTCAGTTAACATTAACTAACAGTAGTGATTGCATGGCAAAATGTCAAGTAAGAAAGTAATGAACACCCAACGAAAATGCTCATTCAACTGCAGGTATGAGCCAATGTTCAGATAGCAGGAAGTAAGGTTAGCTAAAATGACAAAATTCCAAAGGCTTTTTGTGACAAACCAGGTATAAAAGAAGTTGATATGAAAGATAGAAATAGCAAAAGTTCTAAGTGGGCTTTAAATGAGAAAGACAAAGATTAAATTTGAAAACCAGAGAGATAGTAAGGTTATGCCAAATCATGAAAAATCATGTAAGTCCTGAGTTTGATTTGCTTGTATTTAAAGCAGTTTTCTTTCCTAGCTGGTGAGCACTAAAGGGAGAACTAACCATCTTTGCCAGTAAACACTGCAAACAACAAAAACATTATTTTGGAGCAAATGAGCACAGTGGAAATATTACCTGAAATGTTCAGTGCTTCAAAAATGTAATGTTTTGTTTTATGTTGTCATGTATTATAATTTATTTCAGTATATGAGCATAGCTTTGAATTATCAATTATGTAGACGTTTGTGTTCATGTAATTTGTGAAAACTCTTAAATAATGTTTAGTAGCTCTTAAGCCCTTCTAAAGCATCCATCCCATACTATAGTTAGTATTTAAAAGATAACAAATTCTTACCTGGATGTACCTCACATGCTTATACATTGCTTGTGCTTGTGTTTTCCTTGATCTATTTAATTTGCTGCTTATCGTCATAGTTTGAATTTTTGAAGCCAGGAATTGTCTTTCTTTTCTTCTATCAACAGAATAGCTAATTCAGTGGTTGTAATGATGTCTAAAATGCCAAGATTTACTCCAATAAAATGTATTCAAAAGAACAGCAGAGCTGTAGTTATTTTTTTAACAATTCTTGTGCCTCAAAATATTTCTTTGTTTAATTTTTCACAATTAATTGAATTTTAGACATTTTAGATAACAAGTCTGTCCAAGTAAGCCTTACCACACAGTAATGGTGTAGTGGTATATTAAAAGGTATGAATATGTAAAGCGGAACACATTTTTTATTTTATTAATTAACAGCTGCTAAGAATTCAAGGACCTTCAATTTTGTTCTACTTAAGTGCATTGTTAGATACAGTTCATATATAAGTCCAATCTAGAACTATGATTTTTATTAGATTTTTTTAATGCTATTTTGAAAAAGTAGAACAAGGGTTAGGTAGTCTTTTTGAAGTTGAAGATACAGATTAGCTGATATGTTTGGGATATTGTTTGCCAATGGTAAAGTTTATTCATAAAGTAAACTACTTGACTCATCCTAGTATGTATTTTAAAACAGGTGAGGCTAATGATAAGGATGTTCAGGTGGTGGAACTTCCCATTGTTGACAGCTTACACCCACGGCCACCTTATTTACCCTTGGCTGTCCCTGAAGACTTGGCTGATAGACTAATTCGTGTACATGGGGATCCTGCAGTGTGGTGGGTTTCACAGTTTGTGAAATACTTGATTCGTCCACAGCCTTGGCTAGAAAAAGAAATAGAGGAAGCCACAAGGAAGCTTGGTTTCAAACATCCAGTGATCGGGTGGGTATTTAGTTTTCTTTTTAACTCTCTGTGCTTTAATATGTATGTAGTGATTTCTGTTCAGGAAAAACTGTTTTATGATGATTATCCAAGAGCCTCAAGTATTTTGTAGGGAGAGATGTAGAGATTTCTAGATGAAGCTATTATTTTTTAACTGTGCATAATACAAATTGATTACAAGTACTCCTTCAGCATACTTGTCTACCTGCAGTTGGACTGATATATAAAAGGCATCTCAATAGAAGATTTTTTAACATGTCCTTTCACATCTAGTAATACAGAATTTTGTTGATTTAACTGCCTTACAGCAATTAAAGACCCAGACACTTTACTGTCTGGGTCTTCTTTTAAGTGCCTGTAGCTTTTTCATTTGAGGAAAAGAGGCTAGGCCTACATTTTGCATGCCACAATCCACAACTAATTTTATCACTGGCTACATATGGACATGGTATGTGCCTTTTGCTTCCCTGCTGATTTTTTCACAGTTGTTGTTTCTCAGTGGTAACTATGAATTGGAATGGTCTGTATGGGGAGATATGGGGAGAAGGAAGGAAAGCACCTGTGGGCAATAAAGAGCAGCTTGTGGAAGAAAGGTTTTGCTGTCATATAACATGAAAAATGTTGCTGCTGCTGTACTAGAGTCTGCAACTACTGCTTCCTTTACCAGAATTTTCCTTCAAACCTTAAACTTTCTTTTTGAGGAGTACACAATAGGTTTGTCCAAATGTTAGTCGGCTTTTGACCATTGAGTTGGTAGGCCCCTTCACCACAGGTGTATATGAAGACTTGTTAGGTTTCAAGAAGGTTGAAAAGATACATTTATAACAACTTTCATTCAAACCATGCATTGTAGTTGGTGTCCCAATATGTCCATGATGGAAATATTCCTGGTTTCCTTTTGAGCTGTATTGATCAAGCATTGTCTAGCTACAACAGATAACCTTCTGCACAGAAGAAACACCTCGTATGCTGTAATTCAATGTCCTTCGTTCTTTTCCTTCAGTTACCTTGTGCCTTCTTTTCAAGATTACTTTATTGCTTTCAAGAACAGACTGGCAGCTAACTTCATGCTGTCACTGTCTTGATAAACGTGGATGACTTTAAATCCTTCCCTATTTTATGTAGGAATTCAATTAGTATGCATTCTAAAAGCACAGGCATGAAACTTAGAGTAAAAATTTCATTTGCTTAAGTGTGTATTGTATTCTACCTCTTCCCAGTGTTCACGTTCGGAGGACAGACAAAGTAGGAACAGAGGCAGCCTTTCATCCGATTGAAGAATACATGGTACATGTTGAAGAGAGGTTTGAACTTCTCGCTCGCAGAATGCAAGTTGATAAAAAGAGAGTGTATTTGGCTACAGATGACCCTTCCTTGTTGCAAGAGGCAAAGTCTAAGTAAGATGAATTATTTTTATATTACAGTTTGTTCCTTCTGGTTAGCTTTACAATTTCTGAGTATTGTGCACACCCAAGTTTTAGTATAATTTTTTTCATCCTTTTTTCAGTTCAGATTGCATTTCATTTTCCAGTGATTTTGATTTTCCTCTAAGATATGCTGCTTTTGGATTTTTTTCCCCCAAATATGCTTTTCAGAGATTAGTGTTAAAAATCTAGAAGAGTTGAGCAAGATACCTCTGACTATTTAAAAACAAAGCAATGCTGTAAAAGGGAGGTAGAAATATAAATATTAAACACACCAAACTTTTTTAAAAACATACATATTAAAAATAAACTATTTAGGAATATTGTAAAAACTGGTTAATATATTGAGAAGTTTCACTTATCCTAAAAATACCTTTCTGTGAATAGCTGCCAGAGGAATTTTTGTAAGTAGGTTGAAAAGCTTCTGATGACTTTCAGATAGACTTCTATATTGACAACTTAGAAGACTTTCACCCTACATGTTGAATAGTTTTAAAGTTTGTCCTTAACTATATCTGGGATTCTTGACAGTGTCTCTGTCCCTTTTTATCCCCTTTGTCCCCTTCTAGCTCTCTAGAACGTAGATGTGCAGTTTGCATTCATTTACTCCTAATATGGCCCGTATTTACATGTAAATTAGTACTTTTAATTAATGAATACTTCTTAAAATCAAGGTTACTCAATAGTGGCAAGTTTTTGAACTGTTTTATCCTTGATAGACATTCTTGGAAAAATATATAAGATAACATACTGTGTAACAAATTTTCTTTGGAATATACAAGGTAAGCAGAAAATGTTATTTTCTATTAGAGGAATTTTCTACAGCATTGAAAGTCTCTGTATTTCAACTGTGCTATTTCTATTTTTCTTTCATATCTATAAAGGGCTGCTGTTTAAAGTTATGGTGTTTTATAAAAACTAAATGAACATACACAACTCCAGATGATGGCAACCTAATCCTTCCATTTTTGTATGTGTAGAAGCAAGAACAGTATCAGAAACAATTATAAAATAACACTTAAAGTGCAAATCTAAACAATGAAAAGACAGGTAATACAAAATTGAGGTTATAATATTTAATTCTTTGTACTGTCCTACGTAACTTTAATTAGTTTGTAACATAACAGAATTCACTGTTTCTGTAACAATCCTAGTTATGCATTTTTTCTTTACTTTTGTTTGCCTTTCAGTTCTTAGCACTCTTTGTGAATAATAATGAGATGCTCTACCTATGTAAACATATCAGCCCAAATTTTCAATAGCAACAAAAACTAATTGTAGAAGTGTAACGGGTTCAGTAAAACAGTACTGAATTATGTTAAGCATTGCAGCTCAGGTCCATTCCATATCACAGTCTTACTGCACTATGGTAAGCTACAGCTCAATAGTACAGCATTGATTTTGTATGTTTTCTTAATGAAAGGCATAGAATCTCTAAGTAGTGGAGAATATTTTATGCGTTACTGCTGAGTTTTCAGGTCAAAGCTTACACTGAAACATAATTTCCTAAGTTGCTCGCACCCTACTGTTGCTTGCAATTGAGCAGAAGGCATTCAAAACTTACAGTGATTTTACAGAAGGCAGGATTTGATGTTTTGGCATTTAAGGGCATCTGAAGGCAGGTCAAGGTCATTTTTTGGCAGTAAAGAAGCTTTTCTTCTTCTTCTTGTGAAATCAACTACAAATTAGTTTACACTTCTGACAAAAAAGTCACCAAGCTTTGATAGAAACAGCTGTCACATTGCAGTAGCTTATGTTGCATTCTTTATTTAGTGCAATAATATTAGTAAAGTACTAGATATTATATCTGTCTACATGAGAGTGATTGGCTGTCGAACAGTGTTGTCATTTAAATAATGAAAAATTAGAGCCAACATTCACATGAATAGGCATCTTATTTCTGTTAAGAGAAGTATTTTAAACTATTCATAGTCATGAAAACAGAAATGTTTTCAGGAACTTCCCTTGCAATCAGATGTCTGCTAACTGCAACTACAGTAGTAAAAATAGTGGAGTCACTACTGTCAGTTTGTAGAGTGTTTTTGTTTGTTTTATTTCCAAAAGAACAAAAGAAGTGGTATATTTTCAGAATTAGGATGATGTAGAACACCTTGAGTAGAGAAGTGTGGTTGAGAGTTCAACTGTAATGATTATGGGATAAAGCATCTGATAGGTTCTGGTAAGTAGAGGTCATGGTATTTGTCCTATATAGGTGATATGTTAGGGATGGTGTAAATTGCTTTTTCTTTGGCTGATTTAATAGTTTTCAAGTGCAAATTTTTGACTGTCTAGTATTTGTATTTCTAGTCTATAATACTACTTTACAGTATCTACAGAATACCCTTTAAGGTATTCAAAATAATACAGCTGAATATGCACATAAATTCTTAAGAAACTATATTTAATATATTTCTAGTTTATATATAAATCTATTTAGGTCTCTTTCTTGTGTATATGAGCACAAAAATTCAGCAAATCACATTCTTCCTTCCAGAATGTTTACCTGTAAAGTCATCTGTATTTTTTTTTCTTTTTCACTTTTTATCTACTTCTACAATAGCAGGTTAATGTCTGTGCACTATCTGTAGTTGAGCTATCCCCCCTGCCCCCAGTCATAGTATGTCTGATATATAGAATTCAGCAGTCCTTCAGACCTGAGAAAACACATTATTTGTTACTCTATCTGTTTACACATGTGCTCACAATCTTCTTTCAGAGGAAAGAAAATTTGCAGTGCCTTTTCTGGACGCTTCCACAGGCCTAACAAACTGAGAACAGGAGCTTGGGACTTGCCTTGGTTTGCATCTGCAGTGATAAGCTGTAGTTACACAATTAGTTGATCAGCTTCTCAAACCAATTGAAGCTTGAAATAGTCCCACAGTGCTTGATTTGTATCCTTATCTGAGGCTGGTAGGTGCAGGAAGAAAAGGTTTTTAACTATCTGTTCCCTACCTCCTTCTGATTTCGTGTTTTCCCCTTCTCCTATAAGAAAAAAAATCCTTCCTGGCCTGTACATAGGTTTCAAGAATCTGTTAGATAGCTTTTGAAGAATTGGGTATTATTTTTTGACATGTGGAGGAGATATACTACACGTATGTAGTCCGATACAAAGAAAACAGAGTTATGCTGGTTTCCATTCTTTGGATTTATCTTGGAACAGGTTGCCCAAGGAAGCCGAATACCTCTATCCCTCAAGGTATTTAAAAGTATTGGAGATGTGGGACTTAGGGACATCCATTAGTGGAGGACTTGGCTGGGTTTAAAGGTCTTTTCCAATTTAAATGATTCTATGATTCACAGTCTGGTCCTTTCCTGTTTTAGAGAAGAGAATGTGTGAGTAAAGCTAGAAGGCATCTTACCAAATGTTGTATTTAGGTGATTTTGTCAGTAAGAATATGACATATTATTAATCATTTGCCACACATTCAGGAATCCTAGTAATAGGATTGTGCCTAAGTTCTACTTCAATAGAAAAAACATTTCTGTGTTTTTTACACAGAAATTACACTGTGTTACATTCGTCATAATATAAATACAGAAGGAAAAGGGAATAGAAGGAAGCACGAGCTAACTATAGAACTTTAGAATTTTCACTTTCTTTGCAGCCATTGTTGCAGGAATCGGATATAAATAGAATCTAAAGCACTATAGTGAATGGGAAGGAGAATTAAACTTCACTTGATGCAGGAAGTCAGTGGGCTACGTACGGCTTGAGAGAAGTATACGCTTGGCCTTTTTCTTGGTATTTTTCTTTATGTTCTGCTTTCAGCCTATGTTGGAGACAGGATAGTGGATCAGAAGATTCTTTGGTCACACTGAATATGGCTGCTATTTTACTAACATTTTAAAAGAAACCTCTTTTTCCAAGCATGAACACTATGTGTGTGGGAAAACATAAAAGTGCTTGTTTGAAAACTTAAATGTGTGAGTGGATAAATTATAAGCTTTGATCACTGTTTTAAAGAAATGGGCCCTGAAACTGTTGGTTAGATGAATTTGGATCAACTTTGCAAACTGGATTGAAAACTAGATTTAAAAGCATCTCAAAGACTGTTTCCAGAATAAAGGAAAGAAGGAAAAAATTTTAAATTTATGCATAAAAAGATGTGTAAATAATTCTGACTACTTTTCTAACCAGATCCAATATGATACTTTTTTTTTCTTGTGCTTCATTCCTTAAAGTTGACTGATCTTTTGCTAGTAAGGAATCAGATTCTTCAAGAAAAGATCTTTCGTCTCTACTCAGAATGTGGATTCTGGTTTTTGAAGATTAATTTTGAGCAATGTTTATCACAGAGCTGTCAGACTTTGAAACATCTAGTTATGGGTTTAGTTTATTGTTACTCCAGCATTAAAGGCAGCTCTATATTTTTATTTTTCTTTATTAAACAGTATCAGAATGTTTAATTCTTACAAATGTAATATTAGCTGCCTTACTGTCTTATGTAATGTATTGATTTATATTTACTGTGAAGTTGTAAATTTGAAAAAAAAGTTGTTATATTTATATATATAATTATATATATATATGCATTTGTTTTATAATTAGCCCTGCAGCTGAAATTTTGTAGTTGACTGGTTAGCCATTTGAGTTGCAGTTCATGATTTAAACATAATTAATGTGTAACATCAATGTAATTACCACCTTTGTTATGTCTCTAAAAATGTGATAGGAGGTGATTGAAAATTTAATTAATTCATTCTCCTTTTCACAGTTTCTTTCAGATTCAGTTCCAGAGTACAGGGGCATAAATATTTTTAGAAAGACCATTACTTTTTAATATTTTTAAGTAGTTATTGTTACATGATAAAATCTTTTATTTTTAAAATAATATAAAACAAGGCTTTATATTTCAAATAAAATATTTTGACTTAAAGTAGTACTTTTTTTTATAATAAGAAAAGTGCATTGGCATGAAATTTTACATTTATTTCCTTTTGACCAGTAAATTGCAAAATTTGTTTTCTGTGTGGCTTTAAGAACAGTGAAAGACTTTTTATTATTTTTGTTAATTTAGATTAATTTATTAAATATGTCCCTTTTACAGGTGACTGGGGTTTTTTGTGCAGTGTCATAATCAGTATCTAACAAACAGTGTGGTAGTAAATGTAGTATAGTAAAGTCAGAATCCCATGTCCTATTTAGCAGTAGAGAAAACTATAAGTGATCTGACTATATTTAATCTAAAATCAGCATATCAGCATCATTAGCAGAATGTAACATATAATTCCTGATATTTTTTCACTTCCTCTGCAGTGTTATATATCAGACAGACTTACAGCATCTTTTAATTTCTTTTCTTTTGTAGATAGAGGGCATGATTGGAGGCAGCAGTAACATTCTACAGGGTTCAGCAAAATTTTAATTCACTTCCTATCAGGCAGAGAATCACTTAACACAAACTATCAACCTTAACTTGCAGCAGAAATAATGCTTCTTAAAAAAAATTAAAATAAATAGAACAAGACTTTGCTGTTAACAGTGTGTTGTATTTTCACAGGTATCCAAATTACGAATTTATCAGTGATAACTCCATATCCTGGTCAGCAGGACTTCATAACCGATACACTGAAAACTCCCTTAGAGGTGTTATTTTGGATATTCACTTTTTGTCTCAGGCAGACTTCCTGGTCTGTACATTTTCGTCCCAGGTAAACTGCAATGCAAATACAATGTAGATTATATGTACCAGTTCTAAATCTTAGTCTTCTTCATGCTCCTGTTATCTTGTTCGCAGTGATCTCTCATGAAAATTTTAGGCAAGAATCAAAGGCTTGGTATTTTATGTGAACATTTAGAGGACTGTAAGCATTGGTTACTTCTCTTTAGTGGAAGTGACTGCCTTAATTAAGACATTTGAAATAAGCAAGAAAAAATATTAAACATGTTTGAGTTTCTTGTTTTGCATAAAGTTAATGTATAACTTGTATCCATCCATTTCTATGCCGCTTGGTAAGGCATTTGAAATAGATAAAAATAATTGTAAACATGTTTAACACCTTAATTTTTCATGAAGGAAATATACAGCTTGTTTCCATCCATTTCTACATATCCTTGCATTCTACTACAGTTCAAACATATCTGCTGTTGCCTTAGTTGATGGTGGGAGTGGAAAAGATGAAGAGCACTGACATTTAGTTTCTCTTCAGTCTATTCCATTTCTAGCAATCCAGTGGTAGCATAATAAGTGTGAATTCTGACCTCGGTAATCTGTAGAGACTTCTTTTTGCACATAATTATATGCTACAAGCTTCCTTTCTTGAGTGATGTGATGAAGGAAATTGGAGTCCAGTAGGAAACTGAATCATATAATTGTCATTGTTGGTATTTGGTTCTTTATTGCATTATATTGTACATTAATTTCATATACCATGAAAAGCTTTTATAAAAAGCTGTTTTAAGATAAAAAAACACAGCAAAAAGTCACCAAGCAGTATTTGGTAAATGGTATGCTGATCCACCTGATTCAAATATGGCAACATATGATTGAAATCAGACTGAATGTTTTTGATGTGCTGTTGTCATATATTCTCTTATATTCTCTTAAATCACATGTGATTGTACTGTTAGATGGAAGTGGACACAAAGCTCAAAAGTTAAAATTTACTTAAAAAGAAATCATTTTTCCACAGCCTCAAATGTAAATTGTCTGCTGCACTGTAATTACAAATAAGTAACAAGCATAATATTAATACTAATTTATGGTCAATACAGTGATATGTTGATCTTGACAAGCAGAATTTGTAATAACATTGCCATAGCAAGAAGATAGCAAAACCACAAAAAGTATAGAAAAGCCTCTTATCCTTCAATCATCCTTGTAGATACACTTTATTTACTGTTTGCCACACCTTGTAAGAAGACCTTTTATAGCATATTTAGAAGGTTATTAATATAGGCTATTTCGGACCAAGACATGAGTAAACTCATGCAGGATTCACTTGCTAAAAAGCATTTTCTATTGAAAAGATGTAAAATCTTTAGTAATATGTGTGTGTATCCTCTTCCTGGGGTACACACACATGCAGAGAACAAAACATCAAAAGCAGTCAGAGAAGCTATAAAAAAATAAGCTTTTACAAATGTATGGATAATCAAATTGGTTTCTACGTTATGGTGTGTAACAGGTACTTCAAATAATTAACTTCAACCTGATCTTCTGAAAGCTACTTCTCAAAAGTTAAAGTTCAGATAGAGAGGGATAAAAGGAAATCTATCACATTTTTAGATTAAATACCTCTCTCAAAGAAGCTAGGAATGTACAAATATGTCTGGTTTGACTGATCAAAGTTCTATTCACTGTATTTTCAAAGGGAGAAAAGTAAAATCAAGCTTTACTATATTAACATAGACTAAAAATTATGAAAAAGCTCAAATGCTTCTTCATATTGAAGAAATCCGCTGTATTGTTAGTTCATTAACCTTTATCAAACTTATGCAAAATCAGGGAAAGTTACAATAGTGCAGATCAGAAGTCAGAAAGCTTGCAGTGGCCAAGTCAGACACTTGACAGAGAAGAGCTTTCTAGCCAATTGTTGAAAAGAGCTTCGTTTAATATAGTGGCAACCTTTTGTGTTTCTGGTAACTCTGAGAACACAATTCTGTTATGGGAACCTGTGTTCAGTTTGGAGAAAATTCCCTTCATAAAATGGAATATAATGACAAGTAAAAATACATCTTTCTTCTCACCAACATCGTCTTGCTGAAACTCAGTTTCGTTTACTTGTCGTCTAAGTTACCAATAGTCATAATTCTATCACTGTTCTAATATTATAACAGCATTTTAAAGCCTTGGACTTCTGGAATTGCTTGATTGTGAAAATTGGAACTTCCTTTAGAAAAGTAAACATAAAACCTCATTATTGCAGGATAGACTTAGAAAATGTAAGTTCTAAGGGTTCAAAGGGAAGTAAATACAGTTTTTAGTAGTAGTAGAAAAAAACTTAATTTGTGCTTACATTTGATTGGCTGGAGATCATTTATTTTTAAAAGCAGGATTGCTAGTGTTCATATAGATGTTTTCAATTTTTACTGAAGAGTTGACTGTTCTAATTATTTATCAATTTGTTTATTTGTTTACCAAATCTGATCACCAGAGGATTAATTAAAAAGCAATTTCATGCATCTTGTCAGTAAATATCCAGTTTGGGGGTGGGTGGTTTGAGGTTTGTTTTGGTTTTTTTTTTTTTAACTTGGACATTCCAAAACTTGATCTCCTGGGAAACTTACCATACATTGATTGCTGACTTCTGTGGTATATTGCAGGCACACACAATGTTAATGGCTTCTCTTCTATTTTTATTTCTAAGGTTTGTCGAGTTGCCTATGAAATTATGCAGACGTTGCATCCAGATGCTTCAGCATATTTCCATTCTTTGGATGATATCTACTACTTTGGGGGACAGAATGCTCACAACCAGATTGCTATTTATGCTCATCATCCACGAACTGCTGATGAAATTCCCATGGAACCTGGAGATATAATTGGAGTAGCTGGAAATCACTGGGATGGTTATTCAAAAGGCATCAATAGGAAATTAGGAAGAACAGGCCTGTACCCATCCTATAAAGTTAAGGAGAAAATTGAGACAGTCAAGTATCCTACATATCCAGAGGCTGACAAGTAGATTAAAAGGAAGACATTCAGCAGTAATTCTCAATTTTGATTGGTTCGAACCAGCCAACAACACACTAACTAATGGTTTATATGGGATTTGAATTTGCATTTTAACATGGAGTTAAAATCAGAGCCTTTGCAATGAAACTGGATAAGAAGCTGAGAACAAATGGATGGGCTATTATCTGAACTTACTCTTAAACATTTTTGTTATATGCACTCTCACACATGCACACACAAACCCACATATAACAGGAAAACTGTTGTTTTATACTTTTTGTCTCTTTTCAGGATTTATCCCAGTCATTAGTCTTACGTGAGCTTTAGGCTCTTCTCTCTGCCATTAATTTACAATAATGTTCAGACTTATAACACTGCCACATTGTGTAATATGAGTGACATGAACATATTTTGTATGTGCAAAATTTAAAACATGGTGCCTATATTTGAAAAGTTTGTGACCTTTTTAGAAGAGCCATGCCTATTTCACAATGGGCAAGAGTCAACTTTCATCTGATGTTACCGTGACCACTGAACTTGCTTCAAACAAGATTCAGATTTCAGACTAGATTTCTTTACAAGTTTGGGGGTTTTTTTTAGCATTCCATTGATTACTTCTCATCACTAATAAAATAAAGGATAAATTCGACAATAAAATAGTCACTGTCTGTTAGGAACTTTTGTAAACAATGCCATGGACAGATTCTTTAATAGTGATAATGTTTCTGGACATTGCTTCTGATTGAGAAATAAAACCAAAAACAACAACCCACAAAACCCACAAAAAAGGGAAAAAGTAGGTGGAGTTTCATTGAATTTTAAAACACTGTGTACTATAACAGTGCTGCTCAGTTTTGTGGACAGTAGGTAACAGCAGAATGACTTCAGTGACTAAATTTCTTACATTTACTCTCTAGCACTATTTTTTTACCTTCTGTGTTTCTTGTCTGAAATTAATTCAGGTTTTAGAGTATTATAGGTGGCCTCTTATCTTTTTGGCATTGAGTGTAGTTACTTTGAAGTAAAATACTTCAGGTTATCCCATTTATAGAACCCGTCAATCTGGACTACTTTAAAAAAATCTAACAATTTACCCCCAAATAGTAGGTTTGAGAAAAATATACACAAGGATGAATTTTTATGCATGTCATGAGGTTGTTAGTAATTCTTAGTGTTTTGAAATCTTTTGCTAGTCAGCTCTCTATTAAGAAAAGAGAAATCACAAAATAATTTTACAAACAAATTCGTAGATTTGGCGGTTGTATATATATATATATATACACATAATCAAATATATATATATATATATATATGAAATATGCAAGATAACAAGAGATTGTTTCCAAATAAGAAGAATATTAATAACATTTTATATAGGCTCTAGTGCAATTCAGTCTGGATTACTGGAAGTGCAGAAAATGTTTACTGTTCAGGGACTGAGAAAATGCCACGTGAGTAAAGATTAAAAAAGCATAGTTGGTTGACCTTAACAAAGCAAAAGTATATTTAATTATATTTATGAATAGATGAAGGATAGTGTAAACATAATGAATGGAGGCACTTGACCATGAATAAATGTTAGGCTGAAAAATAAAAGGAAATCTCTGGCAGTGTGAAGTTCAGCAGCAGGCTTCCAATCGAAATAGTGGTGAAATGGAACTGTATTGGAATGTGAAGGAATTACAAAGTGGTACTCTGACATTACTTGCAGGACTGATTCTGTAGATCCATTCCAGTAACGTGTTCCTTAACTGGAAAACTGGTTTGTGTCTTGAAAAAGAGTAACAAAATCTAAGCTGAAAACTTCTGTTGGAAAAAAGATACATTGATCGTAATATTAAATAGACATATCAGTGAAAATGAGCATAGATACCACATGAGATTTAAAGACTACTTGAAGCATAATGGCAAATGAGTAGGAGTGACCAAGAAATGCTAAAGATGATGAATTTTTGTGATGAAAGATGCCTAGGGTTAACTGGTGTTTCTGTATCTTGGAACTAGAAGTGGCTTGATGTTATTTTCCTGCCTAAGTGATTCTGATAAATTTTCCACTAACTTAGGCAAACATGATATTTCAGAGGTACAAAGGTAGGGTAAATTATAATTGTTTTAAATTTTATTTTGAATTGTACAGATAAAACTATTGCTACTTTCTTTTTCAATTTGAAAAAAAAAATCCAAACTGATGCACATTTCTTCCTCAACAATTAAATCAATTCATTTTATCTTTGGGAAAACTAATTTAATTGTTTTTCCACAAATACTACATTATCTGTTTGATATTTATAGATTTTGAAAATGTTTTATTTTTTAAGCTCTTTACTTATGACTTCAGAGCTCATAATTTCTTGCTCATTTTTAGAGTGTGATTCACAAATAAGATTCATAAATAAATGAACATATGAAAATTCCTCCAGAGTCAGGTAACTCAGTTGAAAATACTACTGAAGAAGATAAATAACAGAACATCTAGGATGAGCCCAAAGGCAAGAGCAGATCTTCCGAGATGGATGGCAACGAGAGAACTGAAAATGCTGATGTTATAAAATATGTACCTATACAGTGTGGCAATTCCTCTGCAGACTATATCTGACAAAGTACTGGCAAGGTACACATACCTCCTTACATATTCTGAGTACCTAATGAATAATTAGGTCATCATCTTTGCGAAAATGATCATGGAATGATACAAAATTATAGAGTTTCTGTTAATAATTCAGAAATGTACTAATGTAGATGCTATGATCTTGTTCCCCTGGGTCTTATGATCCTCTAGTGCGTATAATTCAGTACTTCTCGGAGGAAGAAATCTAGCAATACGCTGCTTGCTAGATGCATCTGTTTCTAGAGATTGCTTTCAGTTAAGACTACCAGTTAATTATGTCTTGGAATCCTGGGACATTGGTACGCTAAAACTGAATTTGTTTTATATTAAACAAAATGAATATTTGAGACTTTATTCTTGGTTACAATGGAGTCCAGGTAACATGTAACATCCATGGGTAAGTGGAAGAGAGAACCCCAGATTTTTTATTGTAGCTCACAGAAAAGTAAAATAACAGGAAATAAAAATGTTGTCTTTAATTCCTGAAAGAAAGCTGAATCTTTTGAAGGTTGTGAACTCATTAAGATACTAGCTGGAATGCTTGCAAGGAAGCAAGTGTACATCATGTTTCTTCTGTTCGCCTTGTAGCTGTGCAACAGTCCAGTCATGTAATTTTTGCCTCATACCAAACCACCTTCTCAGACATCCGTAAAACAAAGAGCTTTCATACTCTCTTAACTACTGTTTAATTAAACTTTTCTCTTTAAGAAACATTTGTATGTGTGTGTGCATGTTGTGTACATAAAAACGATATGAACAGCACTGTTTTGTTCTTTGCTATTTTACATTATCGCTGTCACATTCTCTGTAAAAACTTACTTGCCAGGTAAATGTAGTCTCTGGAAGCTCTCATGCTGCTTACCAGTCAAGAAATTTATTCTGGGTAGTTCAGTTAACTAGTCTTCTGTGACAGTGGTCACCTGGGGTCATCATCTGCGGTTTGCTGCTACCACCAACCTGAGTTCTGTCCTTGATTTGGCCTGTGGTCAAATGCATGGGATTTACAAGCCTTCTCTACCAACATCCTGCCCATATGAACTGTTGAGTATTATGGATTTGTTTATGAAGGATTATGTTTTATTTCAAAACTTTAAAATATTTTTAAATGTTTATTTTCAGATAAGTCTTTTGTTTATCCCTTCTATCACTGAATTTTAAGGAAGTTTTAAGGAAACCATTGAGTTTTAAGGAAACCATAAAGATTTCTCTCCTATACCAATTTTCAGAAAGGAGGACTGGTGATAGCTTTCTTACAGAGAGATATTCACAGTGTAAAAGTTTCCTCCATAACAGGTTTTATGTTTCTTGGGTATGCAATTATAAAATAAGGATCTTGTCTTCTGAGCTAGGAACATAATAGAAAATAAATAGAACATTTTCATGAAAAATTGTTGATAGGGGGAGGGAGATTTTCTTTCATGCAAGTGGAGTAGCACTATTTGAAATTTTTTCCAAACAATGAATCAAGCTTGATTTTTCCTTGTCATTAGTTTCTTCACAATGCAATCTCTAATGTGTCTGAGGAATGCAGGTAAAAATAATTTGCTTAGTCTGGGAGATGGGGAGGAAATAATCTAATAAGAAGACACAAATAAACATTTCAGTACTGGGTTAAGGACCTCTGCCAGCGAAATCATTCTGCTCTTTGCCAGAAATACTTAGAATTTGCAACCTTCATTTTGATTTTGCCTAATACCAGTCCCAGTCACATATATAAAAGTCATGCTGGTCATATTCTGATGGTTGTTGCTACGTATATTACAGTTTTATTCCTATTTTGGTGGCTTGGAAGCAGGTTGTCAAAGGGCACAAAAGGCTGTTTGGCTTTCTTATTGTATTGAACTAAAATTACATTTTCAACTCACAAAAATTCCTTTTACCTAAGGTACCACTAGAATTATTATTGTAGGCTACAGACTTTTTTCAAGGTCCTCTATATGCACCTGCAAGCATATCTGGAGCAAGACTGAAGCAAAGTAAGTTACGTATGAATATCAACTGTATACAGGTTGTGTTAGATTTCATAGTATCCTGTTCATTTCTAAAAAGCATGAAATGTGGCACTGCATGATACAAATAAGAGGATAGTAAAAAATTCCCAGATCTGCAAAAAAAAGTTGCTAGTCTGTTTGAATACATCACTGTGTACAAGATTATTCCAGAATCTAAGTATGTAAGACAGAAATCTTCAAGATTACTCAAGAATCCCATCCACTGATGTGTTTGCTGGTCTTAACCCCTTTTGGTACCATGTTTGCTGTTCAGTGGAGTTCCTCTATTTTGTGTGCTTGTTTCCTTTGACTTATCTTGTCAGCAGAATCCTATTGCCACTGCAAATCAAACAAGTTTGGATTAATGCAAAGTCATGACAACTTTTGCACAAAAATGTCTTTACTGTTGCTCAAAATTAACTTCACACTCTTAGGCTGACTCCTTAAGAGATGCTGAGGGAAGGAGCTGTCTCCACTGGACTATACGTGTTTTATAACTGCTGGCACACACATGTACTGGTTTTACTTTCAGTTTTGCATTATTTTCTCACTTCATAAAGACTTGAGATTTTGCTTTCATTTTGATATATTTATGAAGGTTTTCCTGGAACACGGTGAGATAAAGTCTCAACTATCCTGCATTTTCTCCAAGAAGTATAACAGACCTTACCCTGTTTCCTTTAACTGCTTTAAAAACATCCTTCAGTCGCACCATTTTAATAGAATCAGATAGATCTATGCTTCTGGAAGACTATGGAATTTTTTTACTCTTCCAATAGCCTTACTGCCTACTTACATCTGATCCTGGCCTACCATGGTTGTAGGAACCTTTGTCAAACCTTTCTGCTTTGCATATTTTGATTTCCTTGCCTAGTGGTCATTACTTGACTGAGAGTCCAAGGGACAAATGTTTGTATTTGGTTTTTCATAATAACATGTGAAATTGTATTACTGACAGATTATTTTTTTTATGAATTGCATTTTTTTGTTTTGTCCCTAATTGGTATAGTCAAGGATTCAAAGAGTAAACACTGTAATCTGATGTGCTGAGAAGTGTTTAGGGGGGCTTACAAGGCATAGAAATTCCTTACATAATCAGGTTTACAGCTCATAGCATGAAAAGTATCTTGACTAGATGAAAGATGTATTCCTATAGAATTCCCTGTTCATTTTTACCTACTGCTTATTATACACTTATGCCTGCAGCTTAGTTTGCAAGAGACACAATGTGAATGCTGTCTTTTTACAGGACTATACAGATAATTTTCTTCTCTTCAACTTTAGAATCTTTTATTTTAGTTTAGTTTTAGTATTCTTGCTGTCTGGCAAGTTTGGTGTTTCTTTTTGGTTTTGGTTTTTTTTTTTTTTCCTTTTTTTAATAATACAGCTGCACTATTCTCAATTACTGCACTGCAAACAGTGCCACAAGGATATTACAGCTCAGCTGTGAGAAGCCACTGAATGTAAAGATTTCTGTCCGATTCGGCTGTCTACAAAAGATCTGTTTGTTAAAGAAGCCCAAGTATGTTTGTTGATACCTTTCCAAACAGTAGCAACCTGGAAGAATGGAAGGAAATCAAAAACCAGGACATCCTACTTTGTTCTTTGTGAATGGGAAGGAACTGGGCCTGTGTTATGTCTAACTGAGATACTGGAAAGCAATTAACTAGTTGGTGAGAGTAGTTTGCTTCACTACTTCAGCTTTTTGCTGGAGAATGAACTGTGACAAGTTTATAATTCTAAATATGTGGTCAGTTTTTAACATCTATAAAATTTTGTTTTCACTTGAGAATAAAGTTGTTATATACAATAAGTTCAGACTTGTGGGATGGAGCTCGTTTTGCATGAGTATTTCTTAAAATGATTGTTGCTTATGACTAATATTCAGTTATTCAGCAAAGATAGAAAAATCTTGTTGGGCTGATTTTACCATTTTTTTAACCTCTATGTCAGTAGAGGTTATACAGAGGCTAGCACTAGTGAACCTTCATGAAATAGATTTAGGATTGATGGATTTGTTTGCT